CTTTTCAAAACATATTTATTCAGCGCCATGGAAACAAAGGACTCCACCAGGTGCTAGGAAAACAGCAGCCAATGAGACGAGATGGAGACCTTGCCCATGTGGCTTAGCACCTAGAGAGACTTTCAACAAACCACATCATCAGCCAATTCATAGCAATGGTGACAAATGTTACACAGGTGACGTACTAAAGCATACATGAGGAACTTGGAGCCACTCTGTGGATCTCATGGCTCTCTCACCTTCTTCATTCTGTAGAATGTATCACATTTCATTCTAATTGTTGTTTTTATTCCTCTTTTACTATGTGTACAATGTATGGACACTACAATATATGGACATTAACTGGGTTGTCTTTCTAACACATAATCAATAAAAGTAACTGTTATTTGTAGAATGAGTAAATAAACAAATTTTCCCCAAATACCAAATGAATAAGCCATGGTTGCAGACAACTGATTAGGTTGCCTTATACCTAGCAAATGTTAAACTGCTGGGAGAAAAGCAGCCAGCAGTTGGTGGGCAGTCTACGCCTGGTTAATGCCAAGTTTGTGTTAACTACACCAGTATATCAGCATGGTTGCCTATTTTGTTTAAGATATGTGGGGAAGGCAGAGAACGCCAGGCCAGGACATGCTACCAAACCCCACAGGCAGGGATGATGCAGGTTGCCTGAAGATGGGAATCTGGGGACATGTTGGAGTGAGAGCTGTTGAGGGTATGTTTGACAGGGGAGGAAAGACTTCTGGGATCTTCCACAGATTGGGCCACTGTACTTGCAGATAAGTGAGGAAGCTGAGACAGATTGTTTTAGAGTAGGGAAACCAGAAGGCATGTTGGATCAGGCCAATGAACTCACCCATGTGGGAGACCTGGGGTAGGCTAAATGGTATCATCCACTGCCCTTAGCAACTGCAAAAACTGAGGCTGGGGGGGTGGCGTGCCTGGCAGGGCTATGCCACAGTACCCACTGTGGGTGTCAGAGCAGGAGGTGGGCCAAGTCAGGCTAGGCTGCAGCACTCACCAGAACACAAAGAGAACCAGATATGGGGGCAAATTCTGCAGGGGACTTGTGGCTCACCTCTGTGGGACTGCAGTATCCACTGTGGACAGGTGGGGATGGTGCCAGGCATAGCCAGGCTGGTCCACAGAACTCATCTGACATTTGCAGGACCTGGGGCTGGGAAGAAGCCAGGCATAGCCAGTCTGCAGCTGCCCCCAGTAAAGGCCAGGACTGAGGGCAGACCATGCCAAGCAGGGCCGTGGCATCTGCCAGCACATGTGAGATCCAAGGCTGGGAGCAAGCCTGGTAGGGGAACTTGGGGAACTGACCTGCTAGGCTGTAGCTCCTGCTGAGGAGCATAATACCCGGGGTTAGGGGTAAGCCAGGCCAAGGAGATATACAGCACTTGTGTGGGCTGGACCTGGACCTGGCATGAGAACAAGGATAGGGTATGGACAACACCTGGCTGGAGTAGCCTGCAACACCCATCAGCAAGAACTGAGACTGAGTGAGCCAAGCCAGGTTGGGTTGAAGCACCCACCAGCACGTGCAAGATTGGAGGAACTGGCCTGGTAAGAAAACTCTGGGGACTCCCCTTTCAGGCTGCAGTTCCCACTGGTGAGTACAAGAGCCAGAGCTGGGGGTGGGTCAGACTAGACATGGCTGCAGTACCCTTCAGTATGCACATGGGCTGGGTTTGGGGGCAAGCCAGACCCAGGCTAGAATTCAGCACCTGCTGGTGATCACGAAAGGTAAGGTGAGTGTGGGACAGGCCAGGCTAATCATGGCACCTGCCAGTTCATGTGAGAGTCATATCTGGGGGTTGGCCAGCTGAGCTAGGCTGTAGCACCCCCTAGTGAGAGCCTGAATAGGTACAGGCCAGTTGGGCTATGCCGCAGGACCCAACAGTTAAGTGCCAGGACTCAGGGAAGATCATGTTAGGCTGGGCTGCAGCTCCCACTGGCACATGTGAGATACAGTGCAGGGAATGGATCCGAGAGAAGAACTTGGGGAACTCCCCTGATAGACTGCAGCTCCTGCTGGTGAGCACAACAGCCAGAGCTGGGAGCAGGCCAGCCAGGCTGTAACACCTTTTGGTTGGGTCAGCCAACAGCACACACTGGCACAAATGACAGTCAGGATGGGGTGCAGGCCAGGCTCAGTTAATCCACAACAGCTTCCAGTTCAAATGAAGGCCGGAATTGGCTCAGGCTGAGGTAGACTGCTACACCCACCATCAACACCTGGGACTGGGGCAGAATGGGCTGGGTTAGGACACAGCATCCATCAGTTCACATGAGAGATGAGGCCAAAGGCAGAACTGACTTGGCTCTGATGGAACTGGCCTATGAGCATTGGCTGGTGTAGGTGAGGAGCTGACTCTAACCCTGCACTGGCTGGCACACACAAGAGTCAAGTCTGAGATGACACGAGGTAAGGTTTCTTCAGGGACTCCCCAATTAGATGGCTGAACTCAAACCCTGGCCGCTGGGAAAAATCACAATATATGTGGGCCTCCTCAGTTGCTGATGCCTATGCAGTGGAGAGCTTGTCCACATGCACACAGGGGAAATGACAGCCAGCTCATTTAGGCCAGAGCACATCAAGTGCCTCATCAAAAGGAAAGCAGAATAGAGTGGACCACTCTCCTGGCAAAGCTTTGTAAACATGTTCCAGGGGATGCACTAAGATGGACTAGGTCAGCCAAAAGACCTTGCAACGATTTTCCCAACCCTGTTTCTATAAGGCTAACAATGTTTCAGAACACTCTTCCCCAAACCAGGATCTCTAAAGCATCATCAATGATTGTTCCCTATCCCTGGGTACCAATGTGGTCTGACAGCAAGGAGCAGCCTCCTCCCCTTCTCCCACTGAGGACACAGAAAAAAAAAACTGAAGCATTTGTCCCACCCACCTTCCTTCATACTTCGACCCTCCCCACACATGAGCATGCATCCCTCTCAACTATGTAAACAATATTAGAAACTAAACTGTAAAAGAAAAAAACAAACCAGGTAAGACTTGAACTTAGAGGTCCAATTTCTACACTCCATATAGCTTTGCTGAGAAAGGGCAATAATTCTAATAAAATTGAATGCTAATTTACAACTTCATATATTAAAAGTTAATTTATACATATACATTATGTAAAGTATGCCTATCTGTAAAACCCTTGTGCACACAGATATCATGTAGTATACATCTTAACAAATGCTTAACAGAGCTAATCACTGGTTCAATATTCTTTGTTTATTCTGATTATTAGGAATTTCTCACTTTCTTTTCTTATTATTGGGAATTTCTAGTGGAATAAAATAAATAAACTAAATTTTACTGAAAATTTTTAAATGTCTAAGAAACAGTATTTACAACAGTTATAAATAAAATATAAACTACAATAATGATGTATAACAAATACATAAAGTTTTCTTAAATACTCATTATACAACAGTTATGTCTCCAAGGGTATTGATACAACAAAAAGAACCGTGCAGATGGTAAAAAATACAAGAACTGTTCTTTCATTCTATAGGTACCAATTCACAGCACAGTAAGTGTACCACTTTAACTTGACTAATGATAATAAATTATTGAATACTGAGCTTGTTAAATTCATAGAAAGCACAGATGCAATCTCGAAATATTTAATTTTCTTCTAAATGAAAACACTCTAGCTCACACTTTTAGGGAATTAGCACCATCTAGTGAAAGATGATGGTAAAACTCAAAGACCAAAAAAATTGCCTAGCAGTTAACAGACTGTAAGAGAACACAGAAAGCTGTATCAGTAACACCTCTCACGATTGTTTTATTAATTTTTATTATACTGTAACAGACTTGTAGTAATGCTTCATTTGTTTTATAAAACATAAATGCTAAAGAATGTGCCAGAAAATATTCTAATTACAGAATGTCTAAAAGGGAGATAATCCACTATGTTGGAGGGATGGCTAAGTATGACCACTGACACAGTTTCCTTATAGGCAGGCCTTAGGAAGTCAGAATGTTTTTGAAAAGGGAAGGGTTTGTTTAGTAGTAAGATAAAAATAAAAGGCAGCTTCACATGCAGTGTGCAGTGCGTGGAGGACACTGAACAGTTAGGGGTAATGTTAGTGACCTAGGCCAGGGACACCAAGGTCTCGAGGTCTGAAGTGGAGCAAACAAGGCGTCTACTGAGAACTCAGAGTCCTTGGGGCCACGGACACCCCAACAGGCAATGTGAGCTCACGGGTCTCCACCCTGTCTGCCTCTACCTTTCACCCCTCTATCCTTTCTGCTAGTACCTGAAAGGAACATCCACTCATTTTTCTGTTTTATTCCCCTACCAGAGAGTAAGCTCTTCAAGGAGTTTTAGCATAGACACTAAATAATGATGTAACTAAAACAATGTGTATATGGGGTCGTCTGCTTCAATGGCAGAACTGTCATGGAAATAATTAAATATATAATGGGTTTCCCCTTATAATTTTTAAAGCCTTGTGTAAGTCAGTAGAAATTTCATTAATTATGTGTAGATTTCAGACGCAAATGTGTGATCATTGCACTATGACAATTTTTCACCAGGGGATGAAAAAGCAATCTAAAACTAATTGGTCCTTCTATATCACATCTTTAGATAAAAAGATCAACTCATTATTATCATTTTTCTTTCGATTTCAAGATTAAATTATACTGCATATCTTCAAAAGGTGCCAAGATAATTACAGATAAAGGTCTCTATTGAAGATAAACATAAAATCTTAAAACCAGAACACATATGGTCTATGACAACTTACTTCTGATATTCCAACCATACAGCAACAGTGTTAGTATAGTCAAAAAGTAAATTTTATGCAAGCCAAATTCCACTCAAATTTGAAAACACTCTAAAAATTATTTTCCTAGCTTCTTTAAAAGTATTCTCTTTTAAAGGTGTAAGATAAATCCTAAGTCACCGAACTTCAGAAAGGATGGTCATTTAGTACAGAAACCTAAATATTTGCATTTCTAGCATACATACCTGAATTGAGGAAGAACTGAGGAGAGTCTCCATGAATGCCCACCGTGCCTGGCCCCAAGGAGTCAGACAAGGTATTCACAAAGGAAAATACTCCACTCATGATTCCAAAGCCTAAACCAGAAACTGAAGAAGAAAAATACTGTTAAACTCTTTCCCTGCCATGGATTCTCTTCAAATCTAATCCCCAAAGGTTACTATGTGCCTGCTGTTGCTGAAGCGCAGGGACAGCCTCAGCCAGCTCTGGAAAGCCAAGGGCTTGGCTAACTGATGAGTGTAGAGAGAAAAGGTAAGAGGAGAAGAAATGGACAGTGACCAACAGATAAATAAAAGAAAAAAGATCTAGAAAGGCACAACAGAAATAAGTGAGGCAGACGAGCACATGATGCTGAAGTTGCCTTTATTTATGACAGCAATCAATAAAGCTGGATGGCTTGGAACAGGAACTGAGTATACAAGGCACTGCGTATTACAAGGCATGATGCCTGAGCTAAACAAGGGTGATTCAGTTTAGGGATCTAGACACATTTTTTAAATACATATTTGTGAAAGAATAATATGCGGAGGTATTAACTACATTACTATGAAGAGTTCTCTTAGTACAATGTAATGATAAACACCCAGAGAAAGTAACAGTTAACCACTTGGACATTTAGTACACTAGAGTGCATGCTCCAGTTTACATTTAATGACCATACAGATAAAGATCACTAGCAATCACTTTCCTCTATGTAAGGAACCAGGAAAGCCAGAAAAGTAGATAACAGACCAAGGCAGTAATAAAATATCATTATTTTATAAAAATATAAACCTGGGGTCAGAGCTGTGGCTCAGCATATTATTCCTCCACCTTCAAGTGCCAGCACCCCATATGAGTACCAGTTCATATCCTGGCTGCTTACTTCCCTCCCAGCTCCCAACCTGTGGCCTGGAAAAAAACAGAGGCGGACGGCCCAAGTCCTTGGGAACCTGCACCCATGTGAGAGACCCAGAAAAGGCTCCTGGCTCCTGGCTTCAAATCAGCTCAGTTCCAGCCTTTGGGGCATCTGGGAAGTGAACCAGTAGAGAGATCTCTCTCTCTGTAAATCTGCCTTTCTAACAAAAATAAATAAATCCTTATAATACACAGACACATACATATAAATCTATAAAGATACAAAATATAAAAATAGTCTTACACCAATTCTGATTTTTTTAATAACACTATGCAGTTCTAACTTACCATAGGCCAACAATCGCATAGAAGGCACTTTGTCATCTGGGTTTATATTCTTCAAACCTTCACTGGCTTTCCTAAAATCAAATCACAAATTTCATTTTCTTCATCATCAGCTCATCAGGAAAGAACACAAGAAACTTCAAATCAGGTATTGAGGCCATCACCAAGTTATACTCTCAATTCAAAATTCATTTAAACAAAACCCAAGAAGCTTAAAATGATCTCAAATTGACCAAAATTCACAACCAACTTTTGTCTTTCATTTGCCTTTCATGATAAAAGAAAAATGTAAGTGAACAAGCCATCAGGAATGGAGTTTACTGAGAAAAAATTAAAAAGCAACACTGAATACTTTCTGAGTAATAAACATTTATTTCAGTAGCCCGTGCAGTTAATCACTGATTATCTTCTGTATTTTCATTTCCACTTTGTTGCATATTCCACCAGGGTTATGCTTATTTTACCAGCCTCCCTTCTATCTTCCTTGCAACAGATCCCAAACTGTGCTCGTCCTGTTGCGGGAACAAATTCTTAAGAAAGCCACCTCTACCAATGGTTGGTAATTACTAATCCTCCCTTATTCTAAAATCTCGTAATAGTGACAGTCTGAACTCTCTTATGGTTATTGAGCTTTGTGTTTTTATGATTCCAAAATATTTCCTTTTTTTTTCTTTTACACCTCCAGTTAGGCTTCAGCAGAGAAAGTGGTCTGATGCTTTCATTGCATCCTGTTAAATAAAATGCTACCCTTAAGAGAAAAAGGAATACTTGCATAAAAGGCTAGCAAACTGTTCAACAGAAATGCATGAGTGATATTATCCAAATTTCTGTCATGAACAATTTACAAACTTACCACAAGCCCCTACCCCCAGGCACATATGTCAGGAGTACTAAATGTAGCTGATCCAGTCCACTATGTCTGCTACTACTAACCTTGCTGGCTAAAAAACTCTGCAACAGGGGCCAGTTCAACTGGTTAATTCTCCACCCACATGCACCAACATCCCATATGGGCACCTTTTTGTATCCCAGCTGCACCATTTCCAATCAAGTTCTTTGCTTATAACCTAAGAAAGCAGCAGAGAATGTCCCAAGGCCCTGGGACCTTGTACCTGCATGGGAGACCTGCAGGGAGCCCCTGCCTCCTGGTTTCAGACTAGCCCAGCTCCAGCCATTGCTGCCATATACAGAGTGGATTACAATTTAAGACCTTGACTCAAACAATATTCAAATTATACAAAGCCCAGAATATATATTAAATAAATTAACCAAAACACTGTAGAATCATTTGTCAGCAAGTGCTAAAAAGGCAGTTAAATTAACTCTAAAAAATAGACAAATGAATCAGAACGTACTTATTTTCTGGGCATTATGTTAACTTAAACTTGAGGATGCACATATTCTTTATGGTTAACCTACTCATCCAATATTGATAACATTCATTACATTAAATTAAGGCAATGTGAGATTCAACCAAACTAATAATAAGCATAACAAAAAAGGGGGAGGTTCTTTGCTGTTCTTGACTCAACTTGAACAAATGACCAGTTCGTGTTCTCTTCTAGAAGCATTGTTTGGCAGCAAGGACAGGAACCAGAAATTGAAGTAACTACTTTACTCTTTCACCAGAGCAGTAACCAATGTAAATGTCCAATTTTCTTAAACATTTACCTGTCACAGGGATGTTGGTAAAGGCTAATTCAAGTTGATGAGGCATACCCAGTAGTAACAAACAAACACTATCAGCAAGTATATCAACACTTATTGTTGAATCATGTAAGTTTCACCAGGAATTTTAATAAAAGTTACTCAGTAATAACAGCTGTTCAGTACAACAAAGCCTGTCTATCACAAATGGATTAAATGTCTAAACTGGGAAACGTAAGAAAAACTTCTTCATCACAGGTAACAGGAGTCAATGGGAGGAAAGGTTCTCAATGTTAACATTAGGAAGTGAAAAAGTACACAACATGATCAGCTTCCCACGCACTTCTCTTTTACTGAACTGGAAAGTCTGTTGGCATTTGCTACTGTGTCTCCAAGACCAAAAAAAAAAAAAAGAAAAGAAACGAACACAACCTTGCTATTAAACTTTAAAAAACAAGTGATCAACCCCACCATCTTCCTTGTTTCGTCCATTCTTTCCTAAGCTATGCAGCTGGTACGTGTAAGAAAGGGAGAATAGCAAGAAACTTGCATACAAACTAAACATACCACTTAAAACATGCTAAAAAACAAACAAGCCTCTTAAAAACTGTAGCAATGCTTATTTATAGTATTTTTTCTATAAAGTTTCCCTAAAATTACAAAACAAAACAAAACACCCTGAATTATTTATCAGAGTATTATAAACAAAACTGAATTAAATTAGAAACTTATTTGTGTAGGGGCCAGTGCCATGGCACGAAGCCCTACAGGATATTTGGGAGGAAACCAATTTTGCCACTTCTCAAATAAGTGAGCAGATTCAACCTTCTACACTAGCTCACTCAGTCATTTCCAACCACAGCTGCCTCGCTGTGCTACACAGTAACCTAAGTTACTCTTCCCCAAGGCAGGTATGGTGGCACAGTGTATTAGGCCACAGGCTGGGATGCCTGCAGCCATATCAGAATGCCTGTGATGTTTGAGTCACACCTCTGTGCTGGATCCAGCTTCCTGCTAATGCACCTCCTGGGGGGGTGGGGCAGACAAGGCTACCCACACACAAGACAGCGAGGAGTGCAGGATTTCCAGCCATGCTGCGCGGGCCACAGGCATTTGGTGAGTGAGAGAGAGGATACAAGACTGGTATCTCTGACACTTGCCTTTCAATTAAATTCTTAAAAACAAAAAAAAAGGGGGGGGACAAAAAAGCACTCCTCCTCTCCAACTATGTAACTCTGTACCCATTAACCATCTTGAATTTTAAATTATTATTTGTATAAGAAGGACTGCCACTTGTGTAAGGCTCTGCCAGGCTGAAGTTATAAAGCATTCACTCACTGATTCAAGATGAAATGAGTGCTATTAAGGCCTAACCTAAATAAATTAGATTGTAACACTGTTTTTACTCAATACCTTAAAAGTATAAACACAGTGCAGGGCCCAGCATGGTAGCCTAGTAGCTAAAGTCCTCACCTTCCACATGCCAGAATCCCATAAGGGTGCCAGTTTGTGTCCCAGCTGCTCCACTTCCCATCCAGCTCCCTGCTTGTGGCCTGGGAAAGCAGTTGAGGACGGCCTAAAGCCTTGGGACCCTACACCCGCGTGGGAGACCTGGAAGAGGCTCTGGGCTCCTGGCTTTGGGTTAACTCAGCTCTGGCTGTTGCAGCCACTTGGGAAGTGAATCAGTGGATGGAAGATCTTCCTCTGTCTCTCCTCTCTGTACACCTGATCTTCCAATAAATAAATTTTTCTTAAAAACCAGTACAAATCCTCCATATCCTTGGCACTAAGTTCAAGTAGCAAAATTTTAACTGAGGAATATTTCATTTTTTAAAAGATTTATTTATTTTATTTGAATTACAGAAAGTGGGAAAGACATCTTGCATTTGATGGTTCACTCCCCAAACTGTCACAATGGAAAAAGCTGGGCCAGTCAGAGGCCAGGAGCTTCTTCCAGGTCTCCCATCCAGGTGCAAGGACTCAAGCCGTTGGGCCATTCTCAGCTGCTTTCCCAGCACAAGCAGGGAACTGGATAGGAAATGGAACAGCTGAGATACAAACCAACCCACAGGCAGAGGATTGAGACTGCTATATCCCCATGCCAGCCCCCAAAGCAAAACTTTAAATTTAAGACATTACTTTGGCAATAAAGCACTAATTACGCCAAAGTCCCTATACTTGAGTATAGTACAGCCTAAGAAAGCAATTTAAGTGCACCCATATAAGTATCAGTCATTAGTAATGTGTTTTCTTTAAAGATTTATCTCTTTTTATTGGACAGGCAGATTTAGTGAGAAAGACAGAAAAATCTGTTCACTGGTTCACTCCCCAAGTGACTGCAACAGCCAGAGCTGAGCTGATTTGCAACCAGGAGCCAGGAAGCTTCTTCCAGGTCTCCCACACGGGTGCAGGGTCCCAAGGCTTTGGCCCATCCTCAACTGGTTTCCCAGGCCACAAGCAGGGAGCTGGATGGGAAGTGGAACATCTGGGACTTGAATTGGCACCCATATGGGATTCCAGTGCATGCAAGGTAAGGATTTAGCCACTAGGCTAACACGCCGGGCCCAATAATGTATTTTAATTTTCAAATTTGTTTTTAACACAACTATACCACCCAACATTTCTAGAACTGCCCCGTAAATTTCTGCAGAATATTTCAAAGCCTTGTTCAAGAGGTAGTTTCCAAATGTAAACAAAGGTACCTACTCCCTCAGTTTTTTCTTATCACGGCTTACAAACTGACAGAAGTCCTTCTAGAGAAGCAGCATACCGCCCCCAGGATGCCCAGCCAGCTTCTCTGAACTTCCAGCCTGGCCCCACAACTTTAATTTCTCTCTCCTGTGGCCCTCCTCCTTTCCTGCCAAAGGTTTAGCCTATAGTCCTTTGGAATGACAAGTTAGTGCCAAGAGCCTTTCAGGTGAAGACCATGAAGAAACAAGGTAGTCCAGAACAGCAGACACTCACTTAGACACTCAGGAGCTAACCTCTGGAGCCAGTGTTGTGGTGCTGCACATTAGGCCACCTGCTGCAATACTGGCATTCCGAGTCAGAGTTTCAGTTGCAGTCCTGGCTGCTTCCACTCCAACTTACTGCTGCTGCACCTTGGGAAAGCAGCAGATGTGGCCCAAGTACTTGGGCCTCTGCACCCGTACATGAGATCAGGATGCAGGTCCAGGCTCCTGATTGGCCTGGCCCAGCCCTGGGCACTGGGGCCACCTGGGGAGTGAACCAGCCAATGTAAGCTTGCTTCCTTATCCTCCCTCTGTCCTCTTCCCTCCCTCTCTTCTTCTGGCATTTTGCAGTCTGCCTTCACAATAGATAAAATAAATCCAAACAGAAAAAGACATAAACCTTTTTTTTTCCCCCTAAAATTAGAGCTATCACAGAAAATGCAGCAACAACATGAGCCAATGATGTTGCAGCCAGGAAAACACAATGAATATTAGCTGACTCAGGAAGGAGACTAAGCACAGTCAGGAGCACTAGCCAGAGTCACAGAAGACTCCTGAGTCCAGGGGAAGGTAAAAACCAAGTGCCTGCAAAAGGTGCTGTCTGTAGGAAGATTATAGTAGGACGGGAGTAGCTGCTGCATGCTAAAAACATTCAACCACAGCCAGATGCCTAATTAGGGATGCTGTACTCCTAAGGAAACTTAAATCCTGCTTTTGTTGTTGTTGCTCTTCAGCACTTCCAGAGAATACTGGATGTTTCACTTGACAACTGATACAAATGTTGGTGTTATTTCAATGATTTGTTTATTGCAAATTTGAGTTTACAGAGAGAGCTTCCATCTGCTGGTTCACTCTGTGACTACAACAGTCAGAGAGCAGGGCAGATCCCATGCCAGGAGCTTCCCCTGGGTCTCCCATGTGGGTGCAGGGACCCAGTCATTTGGGCCATCCTTCACCGATTTCCTAGGCACATTAATAGGAAGCTGGATCAGAAATGGGGCAGCTGGGCCTCAAATCCAGCTGGTGCTGGTGTCATAGGCAGCAACTTTATTCACTACCCCACAACGCCACCCCTAGGATACGAATTTTGCAGCTAAGCAATGGCTTCATAGTTTTCAATTTGTAATTTTAAAATGTTTCATTATAAAACGGAATTATTTCAGAGCCTGGTGCAGTGGCTAGTGGCTGAAGTCCTCACCCAGCATGTGCCAGGATCCCATATGGGCATCAGTTCTAACCCTGGCTGCTCCACTTCCCTCCAGCTCCGTGCCTATGCCCTGGGAAAGCAGTTGAGGATGACCCAAAGCCTTGAGACCTTGCACCTGTATAGTAGACCCAGAAGAAGCTCCTGGCTTCAGATCGGTTCAGCTCCGGCCATTGCAGCCACTTAGGGAGTGAATCAGTGAAAGAAGATCTATCTTTCCTTCTCTCTATAAAAATCTGACCTTGCAATAAAAACAAATAAACCTTAAAAAAAAAGAAAAAAAGAAAAATTAGTATGTTATTAAAAGCAAAAATGAAAAATGCAGTTAGAGCACATTGGCAACACAAAATAACAGAAGCCCTTTAAAAATGTTGTTGGGCTTGGCACGGTAGCCTAGTAGCTAATTCCTCACCTTGTACTCCCGAGATCCCATACGGGCACGGGTTCATATCCCAGCTGCTCCACTCCCATCCAGTTCCCTGCCTGTGGCCTGGGAAAGCAGTCAAGGACAGCTCAAAGCCTTGGGACCCAGCACCTGCATGGGAGACCCGGAAAAACCTCCTGGCTTCTGGCTTTGGGTTGGCTCAGCTCCAACCACTGTGGCCATTTAGGGAGTGAACCAGCGGAAGGAAAATGTTTCTGTCTGTATCTCTCTGTATATCTGCCTTTCCAATAAAAATAAATAAAACTTTTTAAAAATGATGTCACAGTGAGGTGGGGATTTGGCAGAGCAATCTAGACAGACACTGCTTGAGATGCCTACATCCCATGTCTGGGTTCAAGTCCCAGCCCTGCTTCTGGTTCCAGCTTCCTGCTAATGCTCACCCTGGGAGGAAGCAGGGGATGGCTTAAGCACTTGGGTTTCTACTATCCACATGGGAAACCTAGGATTGAATCTTGGGCTCCTGACTTTGGCTTGACCCAACCTCAGCTGTTGCAGGCATTTGGCAGACAGAATCAGAGGATGGAAGATTTCTGTCATTATTAGCCTTTCAAATGAATAAAGTGAACTATACATTTAAATAAAGAGCTGCTGTTCGGGTTCTGTTTTGGTTATAGCTTCACAATTTATGGCAAATCTCAATTACTTCATTTGCAGAAATAACAAAAAGGATGGCATTATCGCCCTACCTGGTCCTATGAGGAAACCAAAGCCAACCTCATGATGGCCTAAAGAGAAAAGATGGTTTCAAGTTCAAGCTGTTTCAAACCAGTGTTTTCACATTGAGGCCTCATGGGTCCCTAAGATGACCTACTTTCTGGCCCAGAAAGGGAATTCAAGCCCCAAGCTTTTTTTTTTTCCCCTGTTTTTTAAATGCGTTTTTCTATTATTGATTTGAAATTACAGGAAATATCTCAAAACGAACCTGTTTTCCCCTAAAGCAGTCCAAATAACGGCAGATAATTAGTAAGAATTAATGAGGTGATGGCAAAGAAAAGAAATGATAATTCTAAGCTGAGGAGTAGACAACTGAGAAGCCCACAATCCTATACCAGGGTACCCCAGTTTGGTGCCTGGTTCTGGCTCCCCACTCTAGCTTCCTTCTAATACTGGACCCGGGTGGAAGCAACCATGGCTACAATAACAGGCTCCTGTCATCCCTGTGCATGACCCTGATAACCTGTCCAGTTCCCAGCTTCACTCCGTCACGGTCACTGCAGGCGCTGGGGCAGCAGTGGCAGCCAGGCAGGTGGTGGCAGTGGCTAGGACTTTCTTCCTCTGCCTGTCAAATTAAATTCTAAAAAAGTCCAAGCTAGAATCCATCTTTTTTGTGGTTTTTGTTTTAATGACTAAATTCCCAGCTTATTTTTGCCTCCATAACATTTCTTATCTTCTGAGATAAAATAAAATCTTTATCTTCTAAGATAAAATTCTTGAAATATTTTAAAGTTTTTTTTTTTTCATTTTGCTTGAAAAAAGAGATTTTTAAAGGTTTATTCCCCAAATACTTTTGAAAGTCAGGGCAAGGCCAGCCTGGAACTCCATCTGGGTTCCCCATCAAGAACCCAGTTAGGCCATTACTCGCTGCATCCCAGGATGCACATTAGCAGGAAATGCCGTTAAAAGGAGAGCAGTCAGGACTTGAACCAGGTACTCCAACACTTGATGTGGCTTCTCAAGTAACAACTTAAGCCATTCTGCCAAACACTCCCCAACATATAGACACAATGTATCTCCCTGTTTATTAACTTATTGCCTGTCCCCTCTCACAATAACAGCCCCATGAAGTCAGGAGTTATCTTTTTAATCACTGATGTATCCCCAGTGACTGCAAAGTATGAGGAAGAGAGGGAAGGAGATAAAGGAGAGACAGTAAGAGGTCTACAAGATTGAAAAAAAAAAAAAAAACAAAGAAAAACTCAAAATTTTTAGACTGAAAAAACATCAATCCCTTCGCTTGAATCTAGGTAGCAAGCCATGGATCCTTACTAACGTCAAATCACCAAATAATGGCTCCAACTTAACTGTGAAAGAAGGGTAGGACAAACTTCCAACTCACTTTATAAGCCTGTAATAGGCAAACCGGAACACCTCCTGGATGAGGACCGAAAGCAACACTCCGAAGATGAGCAGGTATGTCTGCTTTGGTCCATCTCTGCTGTCACTGATCAGTCTGGCCATGAACCAAATCAGGGACGAAAGCAACAGCGACACCAGCCAGAAGAAGGCTCTGAAAATTAAAGTGTTACGGGCAGCATTTAGAATGATTTAAAACTGAAACCTCACCTTCAGAAGGAACACATTTCCTGATTTTTTTTTTTGACAGAAAACACAAAGATCTCATAAAGTGCAGCTCCAGATCAATTATTCCCAATCAACACGCTCTTCCCCGGAGACACCAAATGTACTCCCCAAGGCGGGTTAGTTTTTCCAGTGGCCCCAATTTTCCAAGTGCGGCTACCAGACAGCCTAGCTGGAATCGTGCCTATTTGCTAATCTTCATCACAAACGCTTCGCCCACTTGTGTGCCCAAGAAAAATCGTGGCTACTGTGACTTCTCTGATGTCCCTCTTTTTGAAATCTACCAGTAAGAGTGGATTGCGGGGTCAGTATCGAGGATAAGCGGTTTGTTTTTTTCCCCGTAAAACAAAGTCTACATGTCTAATAACAGTTACTAATTAAAAAAAAAAAACTGAAAATTTGTGGTCTGTTTTCCAAGACCTGGGTGCTGATATGACCCCATATGGAGTCTAACTTAGAGCAGTCATACTAGCCTGCAGCTGAAATCCCTACAGCTTAGAACGGCACACGTGAAGCCAACACAGGAAGCATCCCTGCCTAGCCGGGGGCCAAGTGGGACTCGCGTGCCCCAGCGAGCGAGGGTGGACAGGTGGACACTGGGATTAGGACCCATTCGCCACCACAGCCGGCGTCCCCCGAGCTCCTAGGAGAGGGCGGCACACGACAGGAGTTTTCGGCATCTGCACCCTCAGGACGCCCGCCCGGACGCTGGGATTAGCGGGGCTGGGGCGGCCAGCAGAGCGGCCCCTCACCGCCCTCCACCACGCTCACGGCCCTCAACCCTCGGCAGTCCCAGCAGACGTGAGGAGCTGAGGGAAACGACGCCTCGGGACCCACACGTGAACTGATTCATCATTCCCCCTTCCCGCCCCTCAGCTCAGCGTCTCCACGGCCGACGGAAGCCCACCCTCGGGCCCCTGGGTGTGGGGAGCCCATGACCCCAGCTCCTTCCTCAGAGCCCGCCGCTGGGACCTTAACCCCACAGACCCCTGCAGAACCGCGAAGAGCCCTGGCGGACGGGGTCTCCGCCTTCCCCAACGCCGCAAGGTCGAGCCCGAGGCGGGGAGACGCGCGGGGCCGCGGGCGGGGGAAGGGCTCCGGCGTCCCGTTTCCCAGCGCAACCGCCTCACCCGGCGATGAGGAAAATGACGCGTAAAGGGTCGGTGGCGATGGTGAAGACGTAGAGGGCGAGCGCAGGCCCAAAGGCAATGAAGGAGCAGCCGAAAAACACGGCCGCCGTCATGGCGACAGCAAAAGCCGCCGCCGAGCCCTGAGGGGACGTCAAAAGCCAGGGGCTGGACGCCGGCCGGGAGCGCGAACAGCCGGCCCCGAGGAGCGAACGGCCGGCCCCGAGCGGCGCGTGGCCAGGGAGCGCCGAGTTGAGGGCGGGGCTCGTGCTGGGCGTGCGGCGGGGCGGGGCTCGTGCTGAGGGCGGGGCGGAGCTCGTGCTGAGGGCGGGGCGGAGCTCGTGCTGAGGGCGAGGCAGGGCTCCAGCTAGGCTTGGGGCGGGGCAGGCGCGGAGGCGGGGCTCGGCCTAGGCGTGGGGCGGGCGGATGCGGAGGCGGGGCTCAGCTAGGCGTGGGGCGGGGCACCGAGCTGGGGCCGGGGCGGGACAGCCGCGGAGGCGGAACTTGAGCCAGGCGTGGGGCGGAGTGGGGCGGGCGCCGAGCTGGGGGCGGGGCGGGGCAGGCGCTGAGGCGGCACTCTAGCTAGGCGTGGGGCGGATGCGGGGCTCAGCTAGGCGGGGCTCGGGCTAGGCGGGGCTTGGGCTGGGTGGGGCGGGGCTCGGGCGGGGCGGGGCTCGTGCTGAGGGCGTGGCTCTGGCAGGGCGGGGCTTGGGCTGGGTGGGGCGGGGCTCAGCTAGGCGTGGGCGAAGGCGGAGCCAACTCATCACTTCCAGCATGGGTAGGGTCTTAGTGTTGAGAGGGGAAGAACACCACTTATCAAGTAGCTCCAAATGCCACCAACCAGACAACATTCCAGGTCAATAAGCATATAAATATGGCCTTGCTCCATGGTTCAGTGGCTAAATCCTCGTCTTGCATGAGCCGGAATCCCCTGTTGGTGTCCCAGCTGCTCCCTTTCCTTTCCAGCTCACTGCTTGTGACCTGGGAAAGCAGCAGAGCATGGCCCAAAGCCTTGACACTACACCCGTGCAGGAAACCTGGGGGAAAAAATCAATTGACATATAAAGGAATATAAAGGAATGCAAATTAAATTCACAGCTGACCTTTCAAAGAAAACTACAAGTCAGAAGAAAATGGAACACATATTCCAGATTCTAAAGGAAAAAAATTGTCGACCCAGGATAGCATGCCCAGCAAATCTTTCCTTTGTCTTTGAAAATGAAATAAAAATCTTCCACAGTAAAGAAAATTTAAAAGAATATGCCTCTTCCCAATCTGCCCTACAAAGGATACTTAAAGATGTTCTCTTGCAGAGAAAAGGAATAGTGCCCACTAAAGCCAAACGCAAATCTGAAGAACATCTCCATAAAACAACAACAGAAGACTAAATCAATGAAGAACTCATTGCTAAAATGACAGAACCAAATTACCACCCATTTGTATTAGCCCTGAATGTAAATGGCTTAAACTCATCAAACATCACAGATTAGTAGACTGAATTTTTAAAAAACCCATCTGTGTGTTGCCCGCAGGAGACACATCTCACCAACAAAGATCAGTAGAAACTATATCTCATGGATTTTTATGTTTTTGCTTTTAGTTTCATCTCTTCAAAACACTTTTTTCTCATTAAATTTTTCACTGACTCATAGATCATACAGTGGTATCATTTTCTTCAAGAAGGTTCTTGATTTTCATTTCTTCAGTGACACATTAGTCATTCAGTAGCTTGTTATTTAACTTCATGGCATTGTTAATTTTTTTTTCTTCCTGTTGTTGATTTTATTTTGTGGCTTTTCATTTAAGGGGATGTACAGTAACTGTATAATGGAGACTATCATATCCAGTGGTGTGTTATTTAACTTCAAAAAAAATATTGCAAGACAGAGGCATGATTCATTTTAAGTGGAACACTATCATGTATTTTATAATATTTATGTATTTTTTCATTTGAAAGACTGACAGGTATTTTCCATCCCTAGCACTTCCTAAATGGCTCCAATGGCTGGGGTCGGGCCAGGCCCAAGGCCATCCTCTGTTGCTTTCCCAGGTACATTAGTAGCAAGAGGGATTAGAAGTGGAAAGTTAGGGGGCTGGCCTTGTGGCATACAGGATTAACTAGCTACCTGCAATACTAGACTCCCATATAGGCCCCAGAGTCCAGACCCACTTCAGATCTAGCACTCTGCTAATGTACCTGGTGCCTGGAAAGGCAGCAGAGGATGGCCATATGGGACTCAAAAGAAGCTCCTCGCTCCTGGCTTCAGCCTGGCCCAGCCCCAGACATTGTGGATATTTGAGGAGTGACCCAATTGATGGATGATCTCTTTCTATATATGTCTCCATATCTTTCACTATAATTGCCTTTCAGATAAGTAAAAACTTAAAAAAAAAATGAAAAATAGAAAGCCAGTACTTGAACTGGCACTCCCATTTAGGATACTGACCTTGCAAATGGCAGCCTAACTTGCTTAGCCACAACAGTGCCTCCCAAGAAGACTTTTTTAAAGCACATGTTTCTTCATTTGTGTAACTGCAGGATCTTCATGTTCTATCGTGTATAAAGCTGGGAGGACAGGGACCAAGCAATAACATAGAAATGGTACCATGATAGAATATGTGGAGGACAATGTGCTTTTCAGGGTTGTATTGCCCAGCTGGCTTTAATCCCACCCCCACAAGCCTCCAAAAACTTTGTTTTTGCCATTCACCCTATAACAACAGCACCATCTCCCTGCCCTGGCTTCTGACCCTCATCCATTGAACCCACTGACCTGTCTTCCTTGCTAAAAGGCAAATTCTGGAGAGCTGCAAGAGCTTGCTAAATAATCTGTACAAAAAATGAAATCATCTTCAAAGTGGTACATTCAACATCTGCTATTTCCTATTTAATAATTTCTGAGAGGCTTAAAAATTAAAACATTCCTGATCGTTTGCATCTAAGATACATTTGTTTCCATATTTTGTGCATGCAGTAACACCACCACCACCAGCAGCAGGAGCAGCACACTGGAACTGATGTTGTAACAGCATGTTCAGTGCTAAGTTGTTGCTTCTAACCACCAGCATCCCATATCTGGAGTACCTGATCTGAGTCCCAGCTGCTGCACTTGTGATCCAGAGTCCTGGGAAGACAGCAGATGATGACCCAAGTACCTGGGCTCCTGTGCAGGAGATGAGAGTGCAGTTCCTGGCTTGTTGTCTTAAGCCTGGCTCCTACCTGGCTGTTGTCTTTCAGATAAATAAACGACTGCACCTTGTGGGTTACTTGGGGAGGCGCGTGCCTGGAACACAGAAGTGCTGCGCAGTGTTAATTGCTCCTATTCATTCTTTAATGTCTAGCATAAATAATGCACTTGGAAACCCACTTTGTAGTTAGAAAAACACTGGTAGACAAAAAGTTGGCCCCTGACTCAGGATGTTTTTTTCAGTTCACCTCTGAAAATGGACCTTCAGATAAATGTCACTGCATGTATGTATGTCTCTTAGCTAGGAAAAGCACACATTAGCTCATGTGTGCGGGGGCTGCAGGAAAAGTTCATGACAAGAAGCTCATGTGAATAGGGACGTAGCAACTTAGAAGCATGCTTCAGAAGCAGCCTGGCATTTCTATATCCAAAATCCTATCCATACTCAATAGCCATGTAGAGGGGACCCAACCCCACTTCTAGGGACATCCCCGAAGAATCTTTCTGAATGGGTACTATGGGGGCTGTTTGGTCTGATAACACTATATGACCAAGCTTTCAGAAAAATTTCATGAATTGCAAGTCCTAAAAGCTCTATGTCCAGAAATATTCCAGAAGAGGAGGGAAGGAGAAGAGAAACATTAGCACTAAGTAAGTAGACCCTGCACTCATACCAAAGCCAATCTGAATGCAGACTGGAACTTGGCTCCTTGCTGAGTCATCCAGCCAACCTGCTGGTGTACTGCTTCGTTCAACTAACTAGCTTTCTTACCCCAACTGTCTGCCTCACATCTGAAATATATATGTGCAAACATACATGTTTATTTGAAAAGCAGACTTCCAGAGAGAGCTTCCATTTGCTGATTCACTCCCCAAAGAGATACGGCAGCCTGGGTTGGGCCAGGCTGAAACCAAGAGCTTCATCCACATCTTCCCTATCCTAGCAACATTAGCAGGGAGCTGGAACAAAAGTGGAGCAGCTGGTAACCTGCAGTCACGCAGGATGCCAAGTGCTACAGGCGGCAGTGTTACCTGCTGTGTCGCAGTGCTGGCCGAGGTCATGCCCTGGCTTCACCTTCATTCTCAGGAAGCTTGGAGCTCAATTTAATATTCAATTATAGCAATTATTCTTCTGGGCTTTACTTATAAATTATAATTACTGCTATGACTTCATAATAGGATTTAGTCTTTTACCCTTATTCTAATGATTCAATTAGCCCCAGTTTAAACCAAGATCTATGTGTCTTGCTTAAAACTGCTTGAAACACTAGTCAAAGAAATGAATAATAATAATAATAATAGTAAAGTAGACAAGGAAATGAATACATAATAAAATTATAACAACATCCTTAACTTAGCTTCAATACATTCCAGATTTCTTAATTGTATTTCAGGATAGTTTTATTCCCCACATCTGGTTGAAAAATGGAAGGCAATGAAAACGTAGTAAATCGGGCCCAGTGCGATAGCCTAGTGGTTAAAAGTACTCACCTTGCACGCGCCCAGGATCCCATATGGGCGCCAGTTCTAATCCTGGCAGCTCCACTTCCCATCCAGCTCCCTGCCTGTGGCCTGGGAAAGCAGCCCAGGACGGCCCAAAGCTATGGGACCCTGCACCTGTGTGGGAGACCCAGAAGAAGTTCCTGGATTCTGGCTTCGGATTGGCGCAGCTCCAGCCGTTGTGCTCACTTGGGGAGTGAATCATCAGACAGAAGATCTTCCTCTCTGTCTCTTCTCTCTGTATATCTGCCTTTCCAATAAAAATAAAATAAAAGATTTATCATATTTTTATTGGAAAGTCAGATATACAGAGAGGAGGAGAGACAGAGAGGAAGCTCATCCATGTGATGATTCACTCCCTAAGTGACCACAACAGCCAGAGCTGAGCTGATCTGAAGCCAGGAGCCAGGAAACTCTTCTGGGTCTCCCACATAGGCAC